AGACAGAGGGAGGGGACATTCCGAGGAAGAGAGCAGACACCCTGCTAAGCGCGGAGCCCAGTGTGGGGCTCAGTCTCAGGGTCCAGAGATCATGACCTAAGCAGAAATCAGGAGTCAGATGCTTAACTGACTGAGCCACCCTGGTGCTCCTGATTTTTTTTAACCATTTAAGTAACTTTTACTCTTTGAAAAGTAATGACTTCGGGGGTGCCTGGGTGGCTCAGTGGGTTAAGCCTCTGCCTTTGGCTCAGGTCATGATCTCAGGGTCCTGGGATCGAGCCCTGCATTGGGCTCTCTGCTCAACATGGAGCCTGCTTCTCCCCGCCCCTCTTTCTGCCTGCTTCTCTGCCTACTTGTGATCTCTCTCTGTGTCAAATAAATAAATAAAATCTTAAAAAGAAAAGAAAAGAAAAGTAATGACTTTGATGTCCCTGAAATGCCAACCCCATGCATATATCATACACTTTCTACCAACCTCCACTCCCCAGTAACATACCATAGCTCTGAAAGGACTCTTCTACAGTCTCAGCCGGTGTACCCACCTGGAAACTTGCTTTCCCATGTAGGAATTTGCTCTTGCTTTCTGTGCATTTGTAGGAAAGTTCCAGACTTACAGTTGTGGCATATGGACACAGCTCCATAGAGTCCTAGTGAACTTACTCAGTTAACTTATATCTATCTCCAAGTTTAAACAGGACAGTGGAAAACAACTTGAAGTCAAATGTCTGTGGTCCCTCAATAGTCTGATTGCTCTTAAATCCATGTGTCCTGTGAAGTGTATGTAGTGTGACCCTAGTGAATGCTTCCTACGAAACGGGAACAGAGGTGGGGACCCACCATCTGAACCTCAGGAGGGCAAGAGGGTGCACTTCTGAAGGGAGGGAAGCTGCGTTCTGACTCTACAGAATAGTTCATCCCTCTGCTGGGGTTGGATGACAGACACCTTTCAGGAAGTTTCCTTTCCAGGGTTTTGGGTGTTGTGACACCGAACAGTTAATTCCTACACATGCCGCCTGGACACATGGTTAGCACGGGGACTGATGATGGAATCGATGGAGAATGTACTATCTTGTGGAAGTTTTCAAATGCCTACATTGCTCCCGCTCTATTCTGATGATTTTTAAATGGGGCCTTTTTAATTGTGGGATTCCAGATTTTCCTAATGCTCTGAGCATCCCTTATTTGCCACTGTCAGTGCCTGGTTTAGGATGACACCTTCTGCAGCCCTTTTTCGACACTGCGGACGAGGTGTTTGGAAGCAGAGTCACATAATGCTGTCTCATCCTTGCACTCCTTTTGTAGTTTATAGCTTCATCTGCTTTTCCTTTTTCAACCTAAGATGCTCATGCTTCTTTATTTGTAGTTAATTATGCTCAATTAAGTTTTTTTTTTTCTTTCTCTACTAGATTCTCGGAATTGTCCCAACTTTTAGGGGGGAAAATTGATTAGTCCCATTTCTACTGGTGCCTCCTAATCCCTGTGCTTGAATACAATGAGGTCACTTTGTTGGAGGATTAACTTTATATTACATTCTTGCAGAGTAGACGTATGTCCCTGAGGTACAACTACCCCCACTGATGAAATAAATATACCATTCTTTATGATTCCTCCTCGTTACCCTCTCTGTTGATTTTCAGAGAGTTTATGAATAGTCACATATTTATACAACTGGCCAAAAGTATACTACTTATTTTTCTTATGGTCTGTAATAACCTATGCAAGGTTATTAAAGGGTATACAGACCCCTTTTAAGGCATAGTTTCTTATGTCATTACTTTATACAAGGAGGTCAGATTCCATCTCAGCAACAATTTCTTGCTTTTAACCTTTTTCTCTGATTATAAAAGTAATATATATTCATTGTGGAAATCTCGGAGAATGCACAGCCGAAGAGAAGGAAGAAAAGCACTTCAAGATCCATTTTTTTAGAAATAACTACTGTTAGGCAGTTTATACACAGACACATTTTTAAATTCTATGTATGTTCAGTTTTTTAAGAGTAACCATGTTGTGGGACACTTGGGTGGCTCAGTTGATTAAGCGTCTGCCTTTGGCTCAGGTCATGATCCCAGGGTCCTGGGATTGAGTCCCGCATCGGGCTATCGGGCTCCCTGCTCAGTGAGGAGCCTGCTTCTCCTTCTGCCTACCACTCCCGCTGCTTGTGCCCTCTCTCCTTCTCTGACAAATAAATAAATAAATAAATACAGTCTTTTTTTTTTTTTTTATAGTAACCATATTGTACATATGCTCCTGTAATCTGTTTGTTAGCCTAGCAATATTTTAGATGTCAGTAACTGTTTTTCCCCATGGCATTGCTTTTGAGGACTGGTCATATTCCATTCCACGGGTATGCCATGATTTAACCATCCTTCTCCCTAGACATTTAATCTGGTTTCGATTGTTTTGTTTTTTGTTTTTAAGGAACAGTCTTTTTATCAGATGGACCCTCTCACTCAGGAACCCGTTTTTTGTCTTACTATCTGAAATATACCCCCTTCCATAGTATACTTCATAGAGTGGATGCTTGTTTTCCTTTGAATAATGGGCTTAATATATCTAACCCAATTACTCTTGGTGGCAGCAGAATGACTTCTCCTCAGCGCTTTAGCTATTAGGTCCACATGATATTTGAATTGGTTCTTTTAATTGCAGATATTAAGTGTTTGTCACTGTGCTGTGCGTTGGCTGGATGGACAGAGAAACACATCCTCCCCACTGTACGTCAGACAGTCATTCATTTAACCACGACGGGTTTCTTGACACAGCAGGAATTAATTTATTATGCAAACAATGGTAGGAGCAGGTCAACAATTCAAGTTTAATGGTGGCTTAGATGAAAATAATAAAACCAAGAGTTAGAATTTTCAGGATGCTGAATTATGTCTTCAGATATTAAAATGATATATTTAATTGTCTAAAGCTATTTTTATGGTTAAACATCTTTGATGGCAATTAGTATTATGGGTGGGGGATGGATGTGATATATAACTTAAACCTAGGTGCTCATTCCTGTCTCTTTCCTGCATTTCTTGAGTAAGTACTGTGGATTTTATGAGTAACAGCTTCCCTGCATAAAGAGTGCTATGGCTTTTTCTCTACACATCTAATTTGAAAAAAGAATTCTTCTCAAGGGTTTAGAAAGTAATTCATAAAATGGTAGGAATAATAAATATTGTGCCTTAATTCATATACTAGTATAGATAGAGAAATTTGGTACACCTGGGTATAATTTTAGTTAATTTCCACAAGAGACAGGTTGGAAGTTTACTGTTTGGAAGTGGGGGAAGGGGGAAGAAGATAGCTAAATCTCATATTTGCAAAAATGATTACATTGTCTTAAATGAAAATGCTACTCTATTAACAACTTCAATAACCATTGCATTTGGGAAAAAATCTTTTCAATAAAAAGTTACATGAAGTTCACTCCAACTTAAAATATACAAGTGAGGAAAAAGTACTTACTCTGATTTATGTGTCTTTTGGAGGTGTAATTATTGGCTTTTTACTCACCTATGTAAAACAATGTACTTTTGTAAATGGATTTCTGGCCACTTTACACAGCTTTTTTTTTTTTCCCTTTTTTTTTCGTTACATAAAAAGTAAGCACTGTCAATCAAGGAATTTTAAGGTTTATTTCCTCTTTAGAAATGATTGATAGCCTTTTAGATTTACAAGTTGACAAGTTAAAGGGTTCTATTGGTATAATTATGTACTAAATTCACAGTCTTTCAATTTAAATGTCCTTTTAAAACCACAAGATTATCATACCTGTATTTTGAAAAGTGGGCCAGTCAGTTTGGGTTGGTATACAAATTGCTTCCATTAGCCTTGGGACCTATTTGAATTTAATACAGTTTTTTAAAGTTAGTAGTAGTATGAATCTTACTTTTAAAATTTAGGTTAATGGAAATGCATTTTAAGTAAAGCATGTGGCAACTTGTTTTCTAATGTATAGCTAAATGTCAGAACTACAAAGACTGCCTTTTTACTCAGTATGGGAGAAAGTATGTGGTTGAAAACGTTCATTACACTAAAAAAGAAAAGAAGAAAAACACCCACCCACCCACTTACCACTTAAAGGTTAAGGGAGATGTGGGTAGAGAACAGATCTGCCATCTTTTCCTGGTCAGATGAGGAAGGCTGAAGATATTTCATATCTCGGGAAGAAATTTTAAAAATTTCCAGAGTCCACTGCATATCACACATTTAATTTAAGGCTGCTTTGAAGAGAGTGTGGACAGTATGCGTACAATAAGGCCCATTGTCTCCAAATATTATTACAGGTTTGCTCTTCTTCTAGTCTTTTGAAGAATTTTTTCTTGGAGACCCTGCTGTTTCAAGCTAGTGCTCCACAGAGGCCGGTCTTCTTCCTGAAATAATATTAATGTTGGTGAACGCGGCTGTCACTTTAGATGTGATGGTGTTGTATCAAGGGCATGTTCAACACCTATCACCTTGCAGACTCTATCCAAGGGGAGACTCGGCTTCCTATGCCGAGAAGATCCCATTTCCCTGCCCCTCACCGCATGGTCGCAGGCTTCGTTGCCATAGAAGGACTGAGATGTACCTGCTGAGGCCTACCAGAGAGTTTTCAGTTAAGCAAGTACTTGTCCTTCTCCTGCTGTTTATAATCTATAGCTACCCTCAGTCAAGCCCTTGAGGATTTGGACCTGAGCTGCTCACTAGTGAATCCTAAAACTTCACATCGAATGCCATTTTACTTTCTATTTTTGGTTATGTAAGGAATATAGAATTTGGCCAGAAAAACAGAGTTTGGGACCTGCTATTACTGTTCTTTTGAGCAAATCACTGCCCCCCATCATCAGTAGCAGAAGTAGACGGTAGAAATGTTCAGCAGGGGAATGGAGCATCTGATCCTCTCACGATCTAATTCAGAAGTGTAAATTAAACTTTGGACTCCTGCTCATTTCCATACCATCAGTATTGTGGTCTGCTTTATTTCCTGAGATGGTTCTAACCATGTGACTTCTTCATTGCAGCACTCAACGAACCCACCATCGATTATGGTTTCCAGAGGTTACAGAAGGTCATTCCTCGGCACCCCGGTGACCCTGAGCGTTTACCAAAGGTCAGGATACCTTTTTATCGGGTTATGGTCTCTGGACACGTGGGTTTAAGTGATTAGCAGAAAACTTTGCTGTCGATAAAAATTAGTTCATAGACAAACAACTCAACATTTGTGGGCTTTGTGTGCTTGGTACTACAAGGTAAACAATACCAAAACAATACCAAAAGTGTTAGACTGATTTTACCTCCATGATGCTATTTCTTCCTTTCAAAACCCTCTGAGTTTGGTAGGTGTTACCTCCATTTTAGAGAAGAAAATAACCAAGCAAAGAGACATCAAATCATTTGCCCAAGATCACATAGCATGTCAATTGCTAAACTGAGATTCAACCCTATACAGCCTGACTCCAAAGTCCAGGTTATTAATCCCTGCCTCACACCAACTCTCGAGAGGAAAGAGAACACTGCCTTTCTACTATGTGAGGATTTACACTTATCCCCGCCGCAGCTAGAGCTCTAAAGAAACGTATGGGCAGGTCTGACAACTTGCCAGATAAGACAGAGCCTCTTGACCACCAGACACATCCTACGTAACTGGAAATATAGTACAAACATGTGAGAAACTAAACAGAAATTCAGGACCGAGTCATATATGCCATGCAGCAATATGTCGTTAGTTGCCAATACAGAAAGTAGGAAGTTCACCTGTATTGGCTTCTACTCCGTACCTGTTGGCAGTGTGGGCAGTGCTCCCATCTCTGTACTGAGGACTGTGGGCCTTGTGGCAAAGAGATCACCATGCTCAACTAACGACAATGGGAAGTAACGGGCACATTTCAAGTACAACCGGAGTTCTGCGAGGACTCCCGAGTAGAGAACAGTTAAATGTTGAAGACATTCAGAGAACAGAATTAGTGGAACTACCATTCTCCATTTACTGACAGTAAAATGAAGTTTCATTTACTACACAAATGAAAACTTCTGTAAATTAAATGAGTAGATGAGGGGTGCTCTCTTGCCAGAGCAGGTCTAGAGATATGTCCTTTCTAGGTCTGTTTCATCTTGTAAAACACTTAGAAAAATGAAGTACGCATCCTTCCTAGTGCAGCAGATTTCTTTGGGGGATCCGTCTATCATCACATGCTCCCTGCAGGCCAGGTGCCCTGGGCAGCAAGGCCACCTGTCAGAACAGGCCTTGCCCAGGAGAAGGGTGTCCCCCGCAACTGATGCGCAGATGAGGGGAGTCAGTAGGGGAGGGAGGGACACTACCCGGCTGATGAGAGGTACAGTGACCAGCAAGAACTGCTCTTCTGTGCCCATACCTGGGGTAGAACCACACAGCCTTCAGCCTCAACCTTCAGCTTCCCAGCACAGCCTCCTGCTGTTCCTTCCCCTCCGTAAAGCTCACCGCAGAGGAAGAAGTCATATGACATGTTGGTCCGTTCATATCCTGGTCTTTGCAGCGGGCCTCCATCTTACACATCGTTCTCTTCTACCCTGACTTACTCTTGGTGAGCGATTAAATAATCTAATAGTAATAGTGAACCGCAGTCTCTTCTAGAGTGAAGATGTGCCTTGGATAGACTGACTTTTAAGTTCTTTTATTGAGCAAGAACCTAGCTCCCATGCATTCCCTGTGGGACTGTAATTGGTCATTTTATAGCACAGTGATGTGAATGATGTTATGTCCACCCACCAGTCAGTGCCTTAGGTGTCTCAGCGGTAGAAAGAAGGCATGGCCACAATGCCAGATTTTTCTTATCTTTTCCACTTGGGGACAGTCTTCACTTTACATTTGGCATTTTGATGTCTCTAGAATCTGCTAAAGGGACTGGAGAGTCAGACTGGCAGGGGTGGCACTTGGAGCAGGGACACTTATTAGCTATGCAACTGGGGGTCAGAATTTGTTGTTGTTCTTGTTGTTTCTCCAAAATTCTTTACCTCTCCGTGCCTCAGTTTCCTTCTCTACCAAATGGAGATGGGACTATTTTCTACCTCTTCTGATTGCTGTTTTAACCGCTTATTGAGCACACAACAAAAGCCGGCTACGATTCTTTGCCAGTGAGTGAGAATGGCATCCTTGCTTCTGAGGGCTCTGCCATCCAATCTCTCCCGAGCAGGACATCTAACCCCGGCGAGCAGGTGCACGGGTGATTTATCTTCTGTGCCTCAGTTTCTTCATCTACATGATTGTCACTATGGTGATGATAACCATGCCGACTTCACGGGGAACATGTAGGGGTACAGAGGTTATCCTGCGGGTACCCTCTGGCACAACTCCCTGGCTCACCGTTGCCTCTCAGTAAATATTGATCAAAAAACAGAAGATAAATCTGGTTTAAAGACTGAGGTCTAAAGAAGTCAGGAAGTACTTGTCTTATTCATAAAGAAGAGAAAGAGGCATGTAGGACTGAGTTTTGTGTACTTCTAAAGACATGTTTCCAGTCCCACTTCCCGTTCAGCTATGTTGAGCGAACAGCACGGGCACGTGTCACTTCATCCCCGGTGGCCTCATGGTGGAATTCCCAGCCCTCTTTTCCTGGGTTGGGGAGGAGTCATCAGCACACAATGGATTTGTGTGTTAAGGAAACCCTCCACAGCCTGCATCTAGCCACTGAGCTGTGCAAGGGCTCTGGCGGGAGCCCACCCCAGGAAGCTCTCCCGTGACTCACATCACAAGGGCTGTCCTCCTGGCTCCGAACGTTAAGGTGGAGTGAGAGTTCAAAATCAGGGTCAGGAAGCAGCGGATGGAGCCAGCTCGAGGTATTCCTGTGCCCTTGAGAGATTTACACTCCCGCTGTCCATTGTTGGGGGGATTAAACATGGGGCTCCGCCTTTCTTAGAATCATGGTCAGTGTTTGTCAGACAGGAGTGTTTTAGTGTGCCCCGGACCACACACCTTAAAAAACAAACTGCACTTTATTAAACCCATGTGTTTGTGAATAGACAAAGCTAGATTCATACAACCACCCACATATTCTGTCAAATGAAACTGCTCCAAAGACCAAGCAGACAGCTTTCCATAATAATATGCCTTTGTATACTGGCTTGTGCTTTTTCAAAGAACTTGTACATGCTTTGTTTTATTGGAGCCCGTCTTCGGAGAGAAGCTGGGAGAGCAGACATCATTCCCACTTACCAAATGAGGAAACAGGAGCGAGCTGAATCCTTCTTCGTAAATCATTTTGTCCCCGAAGGTCACCATTAGTGACAGTGGCCGTATGCACAAATTTCAAATACTGTAATTATCCAAAGCCCAGGTGTTTTTTTGTTTCCTTTTTCTGATATACAGGGAAAAGGGCGGGCTGAGATTTTAAAGGGAAGCATTCTGTGCTGTCTCATACAAACTTGCCTCCCTCTCTGGATCCTAGCAGGAGGGAGAGGAACATGTGACTGACTTTGGGGTGAGGGCTGACTCTGTGGGTAGTGTGGAGGTGAGGGGATGGGGACTGCGGTCAGTCAGAGACTGTGAGACGCTGACCCAGAAACACTGAGTCAAGAATTTTCACTGTTTGGAAGGCCAGAGGTGTCTCCATCCCCTTCCAGTTTATTGAAAGTTTTCCTCCTGAGTGGTCAGAGAGCATGAGCACAAAGGCAGGGAGAGGGGACCCTGCCGCCAGCATTCCGTATGTTGGCTGTGAGTCCCAGGGAGCAGGTAAGGTTACTTAGTGCCTCTCCTGTGGCCAGCCCTGCCTTGTCAAGGTGTTCAAAGAGTACAGAGGCCCAGAGAGTGAGCTCTCCACTCAGATGGACGTGGAGTTTGAAAACCAGATCCACCGCGCTGCGCGGTGATGCAAGCCTCTCCAGCCCCTGTTCCTCCTTCTCCCTGCGGTGGCCCCGATAGGTTGCTGTTGGGCCTTAGGGAGAGAATTTCTGCAAGGGGCCTCTCTGGCATCTAGCATGACTTCAGCACATGGAGGCTCCAGTCCCTGCAAGGTGGGTCCTCTCCATTCCACGGGAGTCCAAGTTCCAGAGGACCAGCGGTTGCTGCGGCCTCACAGCTAGCCAGGGGGAGACCGAAGATGTGAGTCCTTGGGCTTGACCGCCTCACGGTTACCACTGCGTCCTATTCCCACTTTGCCTTCAGATCTGGAAAGCCAGATAATTCTGTCTTGAGGTGACTGGCTCCTCTCCCTGTCCCTCGCCTGTACCTCACCCCTGTCCTACTGAAACTCTTGCCAGCTTTCTCTCATTCCCCCACTGAGAGGGGCTGGCATGGGGACCTCTGTGGGGCAAACGGTTTTTCCTGCGAGAGCCAGTCCCTCTTTTAGAGAAAATAAAGCAGTCTGAGAAAAGTAACAAAGGCGGCATTTGTGTATTTTGCTTTATGGAGCTGAAAATATCTGGTAAATTGATCCAGTGGGAGTAATAAATACACATTACTTTATCTTGTTCTTCCTGTCCTATACCCCTGAGCCTTGATAGAACAACACCACTTAATAGACTTAAAAAAGAGTAATTACACTCATTGGTTGTGTGATTTTTCAGCCCTCCCAGCCCTGCCTGACCTTCTAATTTAGCTCACCGTGTCTAACTAATGCATTTATATTCATCTTTTATGAAGCATGTATAGTACAGAATTGACTTTAGAGCCTTTTTCAAGCTGTCCTCCCAGGTCTCCAATCTGGTTAGCAGTAAGGACAGGGGGAGCTATCCATCTCTATACGTTCACATATACAGCTAACGCATACACATGGCTCACGGCATTTTTTTTATCCTTTATGAAACATAATAAAAAGTATTTATTACATTTTTACTTTAAAGCTTTTATACATTCTAGCATTATTTACAGCTAAACATGCAGGCAAAAGATGCAAGTGTTTTTAAAATGATTACTGTTAATGTTTCTGCTTGTCAGAAGTGCTTAAATTTTCCTGCACTTTGTCTAAAAACTTAGTTCTGTTGCCTTTTAAGAACAACACATTTAAAAGATCTTGCAAGTCAGATTTGCAAACACTGCTGACAGTTTGTGATGAATGATATTGCAAAATTTGCAAGATGTTTGTCATTTCGCACAGCCGACATATTAAGGAGTGGATTAAGAAACGCAAACCCCTATGG